CACTTAAAACTGCACACTTCAACCCTAACTCTAAAACTGTCTGGGGCCGATTAGTGTACATCACTCCAACTATACATTTCCCTGTATACACGGCGAAGTGAACTTCGTGGCTAAGAGTACAAATAAACGGTATCAGGACAAATACTCCCCGGACATTTAGAGGAGGAGTTAGAGGACGACGGAGAAGGTAGTGAAGGAGGAGGGGGAGGTAGAGGAGGTGCAGGTGGTGGTTAAGGGAGGAGGAAGAGGAGGGGGGAGAATGTGATGGAGAAGGAGAGGAGGAGGTAGAGGCACCCTCCTCTCCCTCTTCCCTCCTCCACCACCTGGCCCTCCGCTACCTCCTCCACCTTCTCCTCCTCCACCACCTTCTTCCCTCCTCCTCGACCTCCTACCTGTATTATCACTGTTCAACAATGAATAATAAACAACAAGTGAGTAATTGTCTGGGGGGTAATTGTCCGGGGGGAGGGTGAATGGCATGGGGGGGGGTAATTGCCCAGGGGGTATTTGTCCTAGAACCAAATAAACATACCTTCAGAATCTACCCCACATGTATGCATGCACAGTTGGTTTTGGCAAGGGTGGTTGTTAGTGATCAACTATTGAGCAACACCAACGCAGCAACATTGTGTCATTACCAAGAAGCCTTTAATTTCCAGACTAGTAAAATTGTGACTAATATACACAATGAATACACATGATTACATGGAATGCATCGAGACTAAATACAGCGTTATAATATCGCTGATAGTATGACAGTTAGATAGTTAGACTTAGATAGTTTGACAGTAAACCGAACAAAACATAAAACGGCAAATTCAATAGAGAACATGAACAATATGCTCTGGTACAGTGTGGGTATTATTGATTTTTTACTAGTTTTAACAGGCTATGATACGTGTAAGCTAATAGTAATAGTAATAGTATAATTTTCATCCTATTATGTATGTTGCCAATGACACATGCCTCTCACATAACGAACCGGTCAGAGTCATAGCTGCTAGCAGAGAAACTCACAGTAACAGAAATATATACTTATCCACTTTCTTGATAGTGAGGAAAGATCTCAAGTGTGTAGAAAACAATCAAAATAAAGACGAATTAAAGTCGGTACTGTGCAGCCATGCGGTTTGGAGATTATATTACAAGTATTGCTTCATATAGACTGGAGTTTTGTCGGCAATGATGAACATGTGTACTGCACGTACGTGGGTACATTTATCTGTTACGGTGTGCTTTGCTGCACCTGATGCTCCTGCTTAGTCTGCTGCGTTGACGATCGTGACAAAGTCCGGCTTCAGACTGGCGCCACCAACAAGGAATCCGTCGACATCAGGCTTGGAAGCCAACTCTTTGCAAGTGCCAGCGGTGACCGACCCTGCAACAACAATTACAACCATTAGATTAGTCGTTATATAACCATTAAAGCCAGGATTCCACATTTTCAACACGCCGGTGTTGCTCTGCACATCCACACTGATTCTATGCATGGTTAAAGCCGCAATATGCGCATCCAAACGCTAATTTCTCCAGTACTAGACTAGCAAATACTTCGTGTCATACATAATCACACTACCTTATGACAAAATAAACTCTAGTTCCTCCCATTTCACTGCGCGTAACCGTTTGCTTAAAACCCACAAGAAAGAGGTGCGAAATCTTGCAATCTGGCGCCAACGCCGAATTGTTTGCCAAACAATTTAGCCCCGAATCGGTTAGGTGACGTCACATGTTGCTACGGGTTGCACCCGCTGTACGGTTGCTTGGCAGAGCAACGCGAACGTGTCAACAACATCGGAGAATTTGAACAACATTGGAGGTATTTTCAAATACCTTTTATAAGACAACGTGCAGTGAAATGGGAGAAACTATGACCAGCTTAGTTTCTGATGCTGGTACACTCTCATAATACATTTAAAGGAAGTTTTATGTTAGGGAACTAGCCAACTGTCAACTTGCAAAAATATCAATTAGGGAAACAGTGCAGGAAAGATTATATATATATATACAATTCTAAAAGTCTCAATTAAGTGCCAGCAATATGGGTCCATATATTTTAGCGGTGCAGTGTGAACTTCCATTTACCTTAAACACACACTGCAGGCCATATAATTATATACAGGGTGCGAAACTAACGGGAGTCCAGAGTCAAATACTCCCTAATTTATTTTCAGACTCCCTGATTTGACATATGCAGGAGTCCGTGTGACTCCCTGAAAATTCTGCTATATGCACTAATACTGACTAACTAGTTCGTTCCACAGCATGGCCTCGCGGAATTATCGTATTTCACCAGCAAATGTCCCCAAGAAAATTTAGCAGACGTGCACCGCAAATGTCCTGCAATGTCCAACGCGTTATTGTTAATAGGGGTGAGTATTGCGACCAAAAACCGTATTGCAATATATGTGCCAATACGACAAAAACCGTATTGCATATTTCCAATACGTATTGGGAAGTGTATTACCATGTACTGATATAGTAACAATTTGATGGTTATTAAATATCATCATATATTGATATTATATGACATGATTATTTCTCATGTTTTTCTTGAGAAACAGAAGCCCACGGCAATGTTTCCGCTGACAGTGCCAGCCTCTGTGCCGTAACAATGTCACCAGCTGCCTACTTGATACCCTTCTCAATAGGCACTGACGTAGCTGGGGATACACAATACCCCTCTGCGCATAATTTGGCTATACTGGATACTGAAACTGAAACTTGAAACTGAAACTGAAACAGTGGGTGTCGCTTTGACAGTTGTATCGGCGCCGCGCCGGGCACTCACGGTGAGCATAGGCTATTATATAGACTCCCTAGTTGCCCTGCGCTCTGTTCCTCGGCGCACCCGCTGCGCCCACCTGCCCCGCAGTAGTTACCGCCGCAGTGCTCCATGCGTGGGCGTTACCAGTACATACTGTATGCGCGTGACACGCACTTGTGCTTTCGCTAATATATACCACGCGCAGTGCATTTAAATTTTTTTTTCGATGCCCATTAACCAATAATAGACATAAACGGCAAGTGGCACGGAATTTATTTTTTTGTATTACCACCGTATCGTAAATACTCGATATTCGGAAGTATCGCGATTATATCGAGTTTTTCAAATATATTCCAATATACGACGTACACCGGTTATATCGTTACACCCCTAATTGTTAATATCCTTTAGTTTTGAACTTCAGACTGCAGATTCCCTCATTTTTGCTGCGGTTGGACCCTACTTAATAAGTCAATTTCTACCCCTGTATATATTATATATATATATATATATATATATACTGCCA